TCTTCATACATTTTCATTCTAATGTATTATAAAAGAATAATTGCACAGATGAATTAAATAGAGAATATTAAAATAAAAAAATACTGTCAATCAAGATTGAAGTGATTTTAAGATTTTCATGCACGTGGCACTTTTATATCACCCTTCTTATAAAATTCAGATTGTTGTGGCACTTGTCCTATTTTTAGCGTCTGATACGCACTAAGTTTTATCTCCTACAAGCTAAAGGTTTCCCAAACTATTTATAGAATAAAACACAAAAAGATCTCTTACCTGTTTAAAATTAATAAATGCCCATTTTTATTCGTTTGATTATTAGCACATAGGTTTCTTATATACCGATTTTTCTTTTATTTAAATTATTTTCTTGATGACTGATGTATTCTTTTGAAGGATTTTTCGAAACTGAGCTCGTATGTCTTTCTTCTTTATTATTTTTGAAGCTATTACATTTTTTTTTTTTTTATTACTTCCCAAACACTAGTTTCTCTCAAACTGTAGTAAAAACTGTGTCTATATTTATATAATTCAGGCAGAAAGTCAACGTTTTGTACTTTTCTCTCTCTTTTCAATTATATTTTATTAATAATAGCAACTATTCGCTGGCTTTAGTACCAGTGAGGCAGTTGAGAGAGTAGCGCAGGGTTCTCCTAGAGTCCCCTCGTCTGATTGTAAATACTGTATATAGGTATGCATGTGTTTTTTGCTTAGTTTTAATTTTCTTATTTTTAGGTTATTTAATTTTATTTATTGTATATACTTTTTTATTATTATTTATTGTTATTTTGTTTCTATTTATTTTATATTGTTTGTACATATGGTGTGGATGTTATCCTGGCTCACTATAACTAATGTCCAAGTGAAAGATTTTTGTAATACTCACTAAATAAATATAAAAAAAAACATTATATCGGAAATTCGTAAGCACTCGAAATCTCTGAAAAAAAACATAAAATCTTCAAATTAAAAATTATATAAAAATTTCGGTACTTTCGTAACAATGGTTTAATGTTATTGTAAGAAAATAAAATAAAAATTTCACATATAAATGTGTTTTAACTGAATTTAAAATTATAATCGTTGTTATAATTCATGTTAATAATAACCCTTATTTAATATGTCTCTCAATCAAGGACAATATCGAGAAAGTTCGTTCATATCATGGTACTGTTATATAAAAGGACATTTTCGTTTGAAACCACTAAACCACGAAAACTACAGAGTTTAACGCGTTTTATTGCAAAATGGATCTTATAATACTGTTGTTATTGAATCTTCTGGTTATTGAACATACTCGATCTGACCAGTGAAAGAAAAATTAATTAAAAATGGGTTTCGAAACTTTAGTAAGTATGTATAATCAAAATGTAAAGTTTTTTATTATACTATGAAAAATAGCGGAGGAAAATTAAATATAAAATTATACTAATAAATCATAAAGAAATAATCAGTTTTTAAATAATAATGCTCTTATATACTATTTTTTGCACTAACAGTAGAGATAAACTTCACAAATTAAATAATTATGTCGTGAAGCAAGTTTATTAATAAAGAATCTAAAGAAAATTTCTAATATATAATATAAAATACATATTATATTTTATTGAACTGTAAGGACAGTAAGGACAGTCCGTTTTTAATCCTTAGCCGAAAAAACTAAACAAAAAAATGAACAGATATTCATCAAATTTCAAATATATCATCTTGATAAGTCAAGGAAAGGTTTAGAAATAATAAAATCTAGCGATTTTTGACGAAGGAATTGCTATAAACATTTGTAAATCTAAAATATTGTTTGAAACTTCTCGTACATATTGTTGACAGTTACCATAAAGCACAAGGACTGGGTTTAAGACACATTGAAATGCATGGAAACAAGCTATCCTCTTAACGCTATTGAAAACAGCGAAGAAGGGATCCCAGCCGGCCGAATACAGACCGGTTAATTTAGTTCAACACATGGGCAAGGTCTTTGAGAAAATTATTCTTGATTATCTCAAGACCTATTGCTCATAGGTGGCTCTTATCCCAACCGGAGCAGAGCGGTCTAGGTCCGGATCACCATCTGGCGAAGATACAGAACACAATCGAGAATGAAGCGACCGCAATGATATCTATAGACTGCATGGAAGCCTTTGATTCAGTGTTCCACGGTCTTCTATGTAAGACACTCTTGGAGAACGGGTTTCCAGAGCAGCTCTTTAAAGTCTTACGATCGTTTCTGCAGCTTCGTTCAGTCAAGGTACGGGTCGAAGAAGCTGTCTCTAGGAACATCCCACTCACCTGCGGAGTCCCCCAAGGGTCTATGCTATCCCCAGTACTATTTTCAATTTACACTGCTGAAACTGTTAGAGCAATACTAGAAAGCAACTGTAGCGGCACACGCCGATGACATCGCTATCTACAGTAGCTCAATCAGCGCAGAGACAGCTCTACGGCAAGCGGAGGAGGCCTGTGAAAAAATCACTGACAAACTGATAGGGCTAAATATTTCAGTCAATCAAAAGAACAGAAGACAATCACAAAAAGAAACAAAAAGACAAGAAACAAAAAGACAATCTGCATTATTTTCTTCTTTCAAAAGAATACGCGCTCTCTTCCTAAGCCCTATAAGGTAGTGGGTAGCGAGAACAGGCCAGTATAGTATATCTAGGTGTTACCCTCGATAGGTACCTAACACTGACTCACTACTGTAACAATTAATTAAAATCGGTTAGGACCAAGGCATATAGGCTCCTATTGACGTCTCCTAACTTACCTCTCCGCCTCAAATTAACAATTTACTTGAACATTCTAAGACCGGCCATCCTTTATGGAGCACCACTGCAAACTAACATATCACCGGCAAGTTTTAACAGTTTTAGAGCGGTGTGCTGATAAAAATAGTTAGACACACGACTTTACAAAAAATACGTTCGGACCTACTACATACCACCCTCGAATTACCGAAGATGCCCGACTTTTAAATGGAGGCATATCATATTCTTTGATAGCCTTATATACTCTACAAACCCTATTTTTAAAACACTTACTCACAAAGCTATGAGATGGCATATATATATATATATATATATATATATATATATATATATATATATATATATATATATATATATATTAAAAACCTATTACTAGACTGATAACTTGCTTCTAGTACCAGTAAAGCGGCTGGGAGAACAGCACTGGGATCTCCTGGAGTCCTGCCTAGGCTTGCATATTTTTGGGACAAAGCATGACTCCGAGTCCCCTGGGCGAATGTAGAAATAAATTAAAAAAAAAAAAAGTATACTGGGTTCAACTTTACAGAAGACAGTTTTTCTACCGAAAAGTAATGTTGCCTCATCTGCTTCAGATTGCGGAGAAAACCAATTATCATCGTACTATATGTACTTTAGATGAATCCACTTTTAAATAGCTGTGAAGTATTATTAAATTCAATTTTTTGTACCATTACACGTTTTTTCACTCAGACCTTCAATGATATTGAAATATTTAACAGTATTGTGAAATTGTCAAGAGTTGATATCCTAAGTGGCGTAGCTTCTAAATCAATAACTGGCCCGCTATTCCGGGAATCTTCGCCCACGCACTTTCAAGACCCTTCTACGCCGTCGTGGACGGTCGGAGTAGCTAAACTCAGGTCCTTAGTTTGTATAACAGGTTCCTCTTGAGGAGTAGATGAAGATCGTAATCAGTATGAGATATCTTCTTAATCTTAATAAGAGATTATCTTGTACAAGTGTATCAAATATGATCTCATCTGTAGGCTATCGTTTGACCCGAATCTTCCCACTTCCACTTGCCACCAGCGAATTTTGACCTTGTTATGAGTCATGTGTTTTTAAACGTCCTCTTAACTAGAATCTTTATTAGGAACATTTTAAAATTTAAATCTGTTCTGAATTCATATGGTAAAGTTTATCTTTCTTTACACAGTTCGTTTGATATCGCCTAAAAATAGGACTATATAATGTTATAATCCGTGGTACAGATCTCTTTTTGACAAATTATCAACATCCTCCTGAATCTTCCTAAATAGTTTCATCTCATCGTAACCTACAACTATTTTATTTACAAAATTCTAGATCTTGGGGTGTTTTCAATCTGGAGATCGTCAACCTTTGATTATTTAAGTAGGTACTAAAAATTCGAGAAAAAAAGATGGCCTACAAAAATATTGGGCCGTTTGGGCAATTGGGCAAACTGCTCAATATTTTGATGATCACGTTTTTCCTCAAGTTTGTACTCAAATTATCTTACGGTTCAAGTGGAAAGCAAATGAGTACTTACGAGTTTTTAGTAACTAATTAAATTGACAAATTTTTCCGACCTCCAGATTGGAAACGACCCAATTCCAAGAGTTTTCTTAAATAAAATAGTTGTAGATTACGATGAGATGAAGCTAATAACAAAGTTTCATGCGGATGTTAATAATTTGATAAAAAGAGTTCTGTGCCCATGGAATATTAGAATGTTTAAAAGAAGCTATATTTTTAGAATATTTTTTATTCTAGTATTTTTATTTTACTTTTTTTTATATACGATAAATCTGATTCATACAAGACTAACATAATTATAGAAAGGGAAAGTTTTTAAACTCTATTGGAGAGATGCCTCTGGGCAGTATTCTTCCTCACGTCTGAGGATGTCTACTATCAAGTCCTACTACCATCATTCTTTCCCTCAGCAGTGAATTTCAATTGCTGTCCTCATAGTGTATATATATATTTATTTTTCTTTCCTCGGCCCTAGACTCCTACAGAAGTCTTACACTTCCCCCTAAAGTATATACTATATATTTATGAGGATTGAGTATATACTATATATTTATTAGGATATTTATGAGGATTTATACTATATATTTATGAGGATCTGAAACTTAAGGTTGATGTGTATTCTCTGTTCTGTATTACTTAAGTTAATTAAGTAACATACCAAAAAAAAATCATGGTGTAATTAATGTTTTTGCCTTATCTAGACCAATTTTCTGTGAGATCCCGATGACTTGCCCAGCTAGATTTGTTGCAGACTTCCTACATCCTTGGTGGCGTTATCTTGATCTTCGTTGCTGGAACGACCTTCCCTCGGGTTGCCTAAATCCTTTGTGTACTATCGCTGTACAAAGAGGATATGTCGAAATACTGACAAAATTGGTAATTTATACCCACTTCTGGTATCTTTATGCAAATTTTGATTCATAATTTGTTTCACTAGTTTAGTCCTAAGACGAGACGATCGCTCGTTCTGTGTCTTTCTTTTTGTCTAAATCAATGGGAGCAGGGGAGGTTCCACAGCCATAATACAAAGCGAAACCTATCGTAGATGACTCTTCTCTATAGCGGACAATTTTAGAAAACACATAAATTTTGAATTGATTAGGTGGTAGAGGTTATAATTTCAATCTTGGATTGTTTTCTACTGTTACAACACTTACTAGACTAGCGCTTTGAACTTTCAATTAATTACAAAAGGCTCATCTACATATAATAAGACCTATGAATGGACATATGAAGTTGAGTTTTGGGGCTTCACCAAACCATCGAATTCCTTCATATCCACTCCTTACATTCCAAAATCCTTAATGCTTCATATTTTGTCACAAATAAAACCATTCATAAAGACCTTAATGTTCCATATGTCGCTGATTTAACCCAAGCCAAATATTTATCCTTTCATGGCAAACTCCAATCCCATCCGAATCTACTTGTTTCCAGCCTTGCTTCTTCCTTGATTCCTGATAATGCTCCTAGCCGTCTTAAAAGAAGATGGTCTCGTGATCTTCTTATCTAGAATTATTTAGGCAGTACTACCATTGGGTAGTATATCGACAAGTCTGTTCATATCATTGTTAATCTGTGTATATTTACTGGTTGTATTTATTGATACAGTTGTACATTTCAATTAATAGAAAATTCGACCATTCAATTCTTTTTAGTTTAAAAAAATGCTAGTGATTTGGATTAGATATAAAGCATAATTAGATTTTCCTATTGTCAAAAAGAGGTTCAGGCCAATGACCTTGTTAGTTTTGCATATATATGTATATATATATATATATATATATATATATATATATATATATATATATATATATTTTTTTTTTTTTTTTTTTTGTATCAGGTATTTTTATTTTATTTTCCATTAAATTTGCCACTGCGTTGTAACTCATCTAGAAAATGTGTTGGCGTTTAATCTATCTTCTTGTATTCTTGATAATTGCTTAACTTGTCAGCAGGTCTCTAGACCACTGCCTTTTTAGTTGTCGTTGAGGCTCACCAGGTTACAGGGAGGAATATAGATATAGAACGAGTAGATTTGGATGATTGAGCGTAAAAAATTGAGAGACTGAAATGTTGTGTATGTAGGATTTTACTTTTATGTCCATGTCTGTGTGTATGGTGTGATTTGAAATAAACCAAGGAGTATCGTCAGCAAGGCTATATAGAATGGTGCTAGGGTGCTCAGGGATGTCTGATGTGTAGGAAGAAAAGAGAAGAAGGCTTAAAACACTACCTTGTGGTACGCCCGCAAGTTGAGGAAAGAAGGGAGAAGTAGAGGAATTAATAGTAATTCAGAAGTACCTGCCAAGAAAGAAAGATTGAAGTAAGTTGAAGGAAGGTGTAATTATTTAAAGATAATTTTTGTTAATATATATTTTAAAATGAAGAATATAAAATTTATCACGTATATTTACACCCTTATTCTCTTTCCTGTCATCTATAAGAATATTTCAAATCAAACAGTGTGAGCTACTGGTACATTTACCATATACGACGAAACTTTCACGGATCGAATTTGAGGTGTATCAGTAATTTTGAAATCTCATAGAAAGCTAAGCCACGTGTATATGCAATATATAAGTGTATAAAAATATATTATACAAAGCAAAGCCTTGAGGATCATCACCTTGGATAGCTTTGATAAATAATTATTGAGCCATGACGAAGAAAAATAGATTAAGAAAGAAAAGACTAAATAACTAAGGTTTTTGAAGCAGTTGTGGATCCAATTTTATTAACAGCTAATTATAATTTATTATATAATAATATTATATCCTCATTATAATTTGTAAGTTACTAAACTCAGCGCTCTGCACACCAATGGCACCGAATCTATCTCGGACTAAACAGTGTCATTTAGTTTGGAAAATACATTTTTTTAAAACTTTTTAAAAATAAAACGACTCAGAAACGTTGTGTATCAGTTCTAGAGGATCGTTTGTATAATTGTATTTTGTATTAACAATCGTTTGTGCGTTTTCATGTAAATTTAAGTTATGTGAGCTAAATTTAATTTAATAACCTGATTGTTAATGACCAAACTGTATTTGGCAAATTATATGCACATTTTTATAATAAAACGATTTATGATTATGAATTATGATTCATGAATCTGTAAAATAAAGTTTTGGATTTGTCTTTTTTCGTTTTTAAAGTGGAATATAGGATATAGTTTATTTATTTATAAAATTATAAAACAACAAACTTTGAAGGTTTGTTTAAAAAAATATGAATTAATATTCGCGTTTATATAGTTAAATATAATTTTTATAAGAATAATAAATTTTAATAAATAAATATTTAACATAAGACTATTTCAGCAAGCATTATGATAAATGAGGATTCGTAAATAACATATTCATTACATTGCATATTACTGTACATTTGTTCTAAAGCTTTCATTTATATAAATTAACTTATTATTTATAGAAATTATTTATTAAATAAACTTATTACTTTTATAAATTTTTTTTTTTTGAGCTGGTAATAATAAAATATTAATATTAATTTTTATATCACGTGTAGTTTATCAAATTATTTTATCGTATCTTTACACTTCTATTCATTCATATTCAAATTAAAAACAATTCATCTTTTTTATTGAATAGTAAATAAGACTATCTGCCACATTGAAGCGCATAAAGTATCGATTCATTCCATTCACATATATAACAGGAAAGTGTGTGTGTGTGTGTGGGCGCGCGTGTGTGTGTTTGTGTTTATGTGTGTGTGTATGAGCGCGTGCGCAAGATAAAATTGGTAAAAAAAAAATCGATTTGTCGCATAAAAATTAAGGCAAATAATTACTAATACTTGACAATTTTAGTTACTGTATGTAAATAATTGTTATAACCAATATACTTTTGCATTTAATTCTTCAAATTTTTCATTAGCTTAGTTTGATTTGTTCTATCTAACAAATTACAGTAATATCTCTAAAGCAGTAAGCTGATAGGTAACTGCAAGAATGTTGCGCATGACCAAGACTGAGTGCGCAAGACCAAAACTCGTCTTGGTCTCACAATTGGGCAACCCTATATTTTACTGCTGGAATGTTCATCTCGTTGTTTATGATGAGATTTGATAAATATACCAGGGTGCATTTACGATTTTTCGAAGTATTTTGGACTGTGCAAATTGTATTTTGTTTATTGAACGTGTTTTGCGGAAATGCAAAGTTGTTTTCTGTATATCCAAATAGGTCTTAGTATGGTGGTGTAGATTAGTCACTTGTTTTGTAAGTTGAGTGGAAATCTGTAGTCCAAAAGATGTGACAGTTGTTTGTATCGTCTGGTCAGTTCTTGTTTTTTTTTTTAATTTGGTGTGTATGTTCTAGGCGAGTTTTAGTCCAAGTAATGTCCGAGATGTCGTACATGAGTTTAGGAGGGAACTTGATTGGTGTCTATTGTCGCAGCAGACCACGAAATCCTCCTCATAAACCATTTGTTGAACCATTTTCCAATGTCGTGGAGGTTATCGTGAAGGGGAACTGAAGCAATAGTAAGGTTTTTGTGCGAGAATTGCATTGTCGTCAGCAGTAGAGGGTGCTCGTTGATATCAGATGTGTAGAGAGAAAAGAGAACAGAGCTTAAAATACTAACTTGTGCTACGCCCGCAAGGTGAGGAGAAAAGAAAGAAATAGAGGAATTTACAGAGATACAGAAGGACCTGTATTTAAATCAGATACCGAGTTAATATGATTTAACTCAGAAAATAATTGCATTAGGGCTTTTGAATAGCTTCCTTGTCCATTTCTGACGTCTCTTAAAAAATCTCACTTCTTGACCAGTAAAGATATATCGCCACATAGTTCAATAATTGCATGTTAATTATCACCTTCACAGTTGTGGACAGTTTTACACGTTCCTCTATCCGACATCTTAAAATTTTCCATTAACCTTTCTGCAGAAGTTGGCAACGATCCGTTTGGAATACGGAGATCCCCTGCACGATCTACCGCAAAGCCAGGGCAGATCGGATCATTGCCCTGCCTTGTCCCTTGCTGTCCTTGAACTTGGCCTAGCGGTCAGATGCACTTGCATTCCACGCTGCACCATCTGCAATTCCTATCTTCATATATTAGCAATACCGTCCTGTGTCTCCATGGAGTGTCGAAGTTCTTGTCTAAGTCTGAAACGAAAAAAAAGTCCATTTTAGTGTTGACCACATTCGATTATAAAAGGTCTTGTGACTAATAAATAAAACCGATTAATTTCTGAAAAACCTCATGTTTTTATGATTCCTAACAAAGCCTCGAGTCGCTCAAATCATGCATCATCAAGAAAGAGAGAAACGTGACCGCTAACCTGAGGTAACACTTATTACAACAACAGCCTAAAACAAATGCTAATCAATTAGAGGTTATTTTGCCAATACCAATTTGAAATATTCCCTATTTATAATTACAGTTTTATAATTTGTATATATTGGCAGAATAACTATTTATGTCACATAAATATTATTTATTAATATGTTTAAACAGGTAGATAAATTTAGGTATCTAGGTTCTACGATAACTAGAAAAAAACGAAATTGAAGAAGAAATTAAGGTTAGACTGAAGGCGGGAAATGCTTCTTATTTTTCTGTGACAAAACTACTCAGTTCGCGCCTCTTGTCCCGGAACTTAAAAATTAGAATCTATAAAACAATTATCTTGACTACAGTTCTTTATGGATGCGAAACTTGGCCGCTTACATTAAGGGATGAGCAGCGTCTTAAGGTATTTGAAAATAAAGTATTGCGTAGAATATTCGGACCAAAGAAGGATGAGTTAACCGGAGAGTTCAGACGGTTACACAACGCCGAATTGCGTGAACTGTATCCGGGTAATATAATTGAGGTAATTTCGTCGTGGCGAATCAAATGGGCTTGTAAAGTTGTTGGGCTTACTAACGAGAGAATTCCTAAATGATTAATATTTGCTGTGCCGAATGGTAAGCGTCCGAGGGGTAGACCGAAGCGAAGGTGGGAAGATTGCATTAAAGCCGATCTGAAGGGACTGGGTTTAGATGGCGAACGGTGGAGGGAGGTGTGTAATAAGCGATTGGTGGTGTCGGCATCGAACCTTCGGGTTCGCTAAGCCTATTATTATTATAAATATTATTTATGTTGATACATGATTTAATAATAAATTAGCAAAATAAATAATTAATTAATTCGATGTTCCATTTCCATAAATTTAATTGCTTTATCGATTCAATTATTAAAATGATGCTAATATTTACATATCCGGAAATCAAGTATTAAAACATATACTTGAGTGTTTTATTTAAACTCATTATTTATATTTGTGTATAGGCTGGGAAAAAAAGCAAAAAAAAGAAATTAAAGACTACTTGGGCATCTATATAAAATAGAACAGAAAATTGAACTCTATTCTTTGACTAAGTCCTCTTAGAATAACAATGATGAATTAATACAAATCTGGCCAAAAACTAACTTATAAATTCTAACATTATATACATTATTTAAAAAGTAGTATGTGACCACTAAAAAATAAACAAAAAATATATATATATATATATATATATATATATATATATATATATATATATATATATATAGAAATGAACATAAAATCTTCTCAAAATTAATATAAGGTCTTTTCTTTTTTAAACTATAAGTTAATATCAGATTCGCTATACTCCTTATAGGTACTATTCTTTTGGAATACCATCCGATAGCTATAAATACAAACATCACTTAGTATGACCAACTGCCTCTTTTTTCCATTTCAAGGATGGTACAGTACTGCTTACAGTAATGGCTTACCATTAATAACCATCTCCTTACTAAGAAGGATTAACCTTGGTATGTCTTTTCATAGCTGTTTCTTTGTATCTACTCTAAAGGAATTAGTTACTGTCAAGAATTCATGAAGGGGATGATGACATGAAAACAATGTTATATAATTGTTGAATTATAAAAAAATAATTCAAAACAAGCATACACGCACACACACACACACACACACAAATGTATGTCGCGAATATATTTCTTTTATTGTAACATAGTTTTTGTACAGTAGTAATTCTTTTTTTTCTGTAAACACATATCATGTACTAATGCTTTGTTCTTCGCGTGTTACTTATAAACATGAACGTATATTTCATATTGCTTTCATACAACGTTATAATTGTTTTTCGGTATGCGTATTAATAGAGTCTCATACCTTTAAGGTCTTTTCACTTGTTTATTACAATGAAGAGAAGAATGGTTGTGGTGATCAGTAAAAAATAAAAAATAATATTTTTTTTTTTACTGAAGTTTCTGCCTAAAATTCAGGCCTTCATCAGGACTGGTCAAACGAAGGGGCGTCGCAATACAATGTTAAATTCGTTTGACCAGCCTTGATAAAGACCTGAACTTTAGGCCGAAATGGCAAAAATAAAAATAAATATAATTATTTTTATTATATTTTTTTTTACTCATCACCCCTACCATTCTTCTCTTCAATTAATCATTACAGTCAACCCATCAATCCGCAATTATTTATTATATTATTTTTTTTTATCTTATTTGTTTTCTGATTAGAGGGAGTGGGGTAGCCCAGTGGTAGGATACTGAGCTGCCAATGCTAAAGGTCCCAGGTTCGAATCCCGGCTCATGGCAGAAAAATTATTATTTCTGTTTCATTGGCCGTGAGGCGCCTCTGGGTGGTAGACCCTCCTGGGACACATCCAGCCTCTATAAAGTGGGTACTCTTAATTAATTGATTAAGGGAGAAAACCTGCCGATTGACCGTAATCTCGGTAAAATCACCTCCATGCACAACCGTAGACCAAGAAACAGTGCTTTTCCTAAATAGCACTAAATCCAAGACCCTTCATGGGTTGTAATGGTACAGGTTTTCTGATTAGGGAATATATTGTTCCATTATTTGGTCAAAGTAATTTTTTTTTTCTGTAAAAATTTGTTATTCTTAAGGTACTTTGTCTCTGAATAGGTTATTTATATGTTATATGTAATAATAAAAAAAAAATGTATTCTTATAACTATTTTATTTATTTAGATAACTATTTTTATGAACTCCAACTAGAGACTGTATATTACATTTACTAATCTTGTTATCCTTATTATGAATTAAAAAACAAAATATGAAATATTTATGAAACTTATTATAATTTCTATTAATTTATACTCAAATGCTTTCGTAGATTTTCATATGAACCAAAAAAAAAAATTCTCATTATTAACAGTTACGAAAAAATGGTAAATATAAATTTTAGCAGAATTTGATAATTAAATAAAGGTGAAAAAAATAAAAATACTTTTACAGATCGAAAATAAATTTCCAGAAATTCTGGTTAGAAGGGATACGTATAATATATCGTTGGAAAGCGGAGAATTTTAGAAAAATCAATATCTGATATAGAAAGTTGTAGAAGGTAACGAAAAGTGTTGAAAAAAATATAAATAATGTTTTATTCCGAAAAATCATTATGTAACCTTTTAGAAAATTAAATTAGTGAATAATTTGATAAATTTTCTCTTTGCGATATTCCAACAGAATCCACTTACAATTAGTGTGACAACTTTTGACCTGTCCATGACAGATAATGCAAATCTCTTTATTCCGTTTTATTAAACTTTGCAATGGAAAATAACAGTTTAATAACTAATAGTCGTACAATCCATAATCAACGGATCTAACAACCCATAATCAACGAATCCTACAATCCATAATCAACCGGTAATAGAATAAATAGAACTTTTGTTATTTTAATAGTATTTATGATTTGTTAGCTGCAATCTTTTAGCTTTAGCTCAGTTAAAAATGTAATTCGAAAATTTCATAATAGCCCAACAGGACCAGAAAATAATTTCTATTCAAAGATGAACAGTAATTGAAAGTTGTGTGTTGCGCGCACCAGATTTTTTGCAATACTTTTTTATTAATTAATTTTTATATAATCATTTATTATGCTTAAATCTCATATTTCCATTATTTTTTTAAAGGACCTGAATATCAATAAAAGTAGTGTACATTTTTAAAACAAGCCTTTTTCAAGAAATGGAATGATGCCTGATTTCTTCTGTATTTAAAAAAAGAAATACTTAATTAAAAGCGTTGCTTCCTTTTTTAATCGAATGGAATATAAAAATTAATTTAAATTTATTGTACTATTATTGTAAATAAAAAGTTTAATTTTTGTAGTACATTTTTAATAACTCTCCCATCATCCACAAAATACACTGGGTAATTCTTAATCAAACCCCTATTTCGTTCCAAAAACGATCCTATTTAAGTTTTATTGTTTTTTTTTGGTCACTACCAAAATTATAAATGATCTTCAGTAATATATGTTACTAGTAAAAAAAATGTTATTTTTTTTTTTAAATATTAGTTTTGATATTGCTATTGGAATAGAAAACATAGTTTTTCGCGTTTCCTTCATATTTGTCACTGATGATAATTAGGGCTTCAAATTGAAAATAAATGACACACATATTTATTGAGTAAACGATGCAGCATGTAATGTAACTGCTATATACAAATAAACATGTTATTTACAATAAATGGTATTAATTATCTTAGGTGGGATGGCAGATGGTAATAACGTAGTGATTAGCATATCCTTGAATATAGACTTGTTACAATATTTAATATTTGCGTGTGAAAACTATCCACGTCAAGACACATGCCAACATTGACACTGACATGCAGATCTAAAGTTCGATGGATTTTTATGCAATGTAATGCAGTATAATATATATATTATACTGCATATGTTTGCATTGTATAATATATATGTTATACTTGTATATATTTCTATTGGATTTATGCATATTCATATATACTGTGCGATTAAGTTCATAAAGGCCAAAAAATCATATGATGCCTACTCCGATTTCCAACGAAAAAAGAGTTAGGTCCAATTTTGGTTTTATGAAAAAAACCTTTAAAAAACAGTCACGTTTTATTTCATAGGAAGTGAAAACACAAAAATTATTCAGTTCAGGCAATCAAAAAATACTTAGTATCAAACTAGACAAAATTTACTTCAAGTGCTGGTAGAATTTGTCTTTGTTAAAACCGTTGTTTCAATTGGACTTTTAAGCGGCTAAGTTCTGCTTTTCAAAAAAGCATGGATTATTCGATCTTTTTTTTTTTTTGTATCATCCTACAACTAGACTACAGACACCTCACTTTTAT